AGGTCCGTTTCGGTTTCTTCTGACCGGAATATTCGGGATCACCTCTGGAGGTGGTCCACTTATTTCAGTCGGAATATTCCGACCGAAATTTACCGTTCCATTTTTGACAAACCGGTTCTTTGCCCTAATTAGGGAATTCGGAAAAGGACTAAACATGGTAAGAGCCATTCCTACTGGTTGACCCGGTTTAATCGGAAAATGTGACCATTCGGTTTGGCATAATGGAGAGCACCCCTGGTTTCCGTGATCACATTGTAACCTTGGGCTCTGTTCACCCATATGTATAAGTCGGTATTATTAAATAACTGAGATACTACACGTGCTCTCATTGGTCGATAGGAGTAGCTAGGAGTGTTTAGGTGAGAGTATGTAAACACGGTTGTGACGTTTTAGATTTGCACGTATTCTTGAGAAATATTTTATAGCAGCTTAGCAACAGAGTACTTTTTCCGTGTTTACATTGCTTCATCTAAACACTTGGGGGGTGGGGTTGGGAGAATTCTCGACAGTTATGCAAACTCAAGATACAGTCTCGAGTTCTCCGAACCTGCGTTGTGTTTAGATGAGGCTATGTAAACATAGAAAAAGTGCTCTATTGCTTAACGTGTTGGCCAGTTTCAACCTCACAGAATGCAAATCCTGAGAATGACTAGCATGTCATGCAAGGTACAAGGTAGTAAGGCCTGGTTCAGTGACAACAAAATAATCGCTCGTGTTTAGTAATGTTCACATTGACATAAAGACATGATCAGGAAAAATGATTTTTTCCCTTATGTGATTATGTTCATGTTCTGATATTGCTGTTTTCATTGTCAGGATGTTCACACTGCAAGCATAATGACATTCATAATGGCGTGTCGAACGTTATGTCTATATAGTTGTTATGTCGCTAGTGTGAAATTTGGCTGAATTTTTTAATCACTGAACACTCTCAAGGTACTCAGATCAGGATTGGTAACTGTTAAATACTCTTGAATCTTGAGTAAGGTGATTTAATGTGGACTTTTTTTATTTCTGTGAGCAGTAATAAACAATGTGGAACATTGAAATGAAGTTTTATTTTTAAGCGATGACGTCACAAATGTGACGTCATCGGTTTATGCTGGCACACGACATTCCTTTGGATGGGCACCGCATGTTTGCGCTTATGTCGCGCAC